GGCGTTCGTGCGGGGGGGGGGGGGGGTGCAGCGAAGTTCGCCGCGTCGGCGTTGTCACACCAAGGGGGTGGTGTCGCGGTGGGCACGGTCCCCAACGGAGCTACTCCGCCGTGGTGGCACCACATAATTCCTGCAGTCACGAAAGCTTCGAATCTAATTTCATTCACATCATCTACATCATCATCCACATCATCACCAACATCATCACCCACATCATAATCATCATCTACATCATCATCGACATCATCACCAACATCATTATTATCCACATCATAATCATCATCTACATCATCATCAACATCAGTATCATCCACATCATCATGACCACCCACATCATCTTCAGCCACATCAGCATCCTCCACATAACCCTCATCCACATCACCATCATCCACATCACCATGACCAACCACCATCGTCTTCGGCCACATTACCATCGTCCGCATCATCAGCATCGTCCAAATCATGATCCACATCATCTACATCATGATCCACATCATCTACATGATGCACATGATAATGATCATCATCATCTGTTACATCATCATCATCAGGGGGCTTTGAAGTGGACGCGTCCCGGCCAGAAGGGGCGATGACTGATGGCCACGAACGGCGAGGGGAGTGGCGACCAAGCGAACGGAGCGCGTCTGGGATTGACCACATCCGGGGAGATAAAGCGGTGCGTACAGCAGCAGCAGCCCGAGCTGCTGCTGCGTGGATTGTTACATCGCGGGCTTGTGGAAAGGGCGACGGCTTCAGAGAAGCCCTCATCCAGCAGTGGATTCATCACGCGTGACCGCCCGGCAAGGGATGGTCAAACAGCCACCAAAACATTGTGGTGAGGCATTCATCTAGCAGTAGATTGAACAAGCCGTGTGGATGTTCATGCATTGGGTTCATAATCTAAGTGTCCGTGTCACGTCAACAATTGCAACAATATTCTTACAAACATCTGACCATCTTGTTAACCAGGTTTTGCATTATCACCATAGTACTGTGTTGCATATATGACACATTGAATCAAATTACAAAGTATTTGAATGCTATACATTTCCAAAGGAAAATCCACTTCGTTGAGCAATCATTTGTGGTCAGGTAGCTTTGAAAAATAACTTTAGCTCGGTGTGCCTTACCTGGTACGAATCTTGACTTAAAGCTTTCATGACTCTAGGAATTCATATTCTTTGGGTCTTTCAGTAAAGCCACGTAGATAGAAAAAATAAATAAAAAACTAATAACAATATCACGACGTTTTGATCGCAACAGGAAAAATGCTAAACCCTCACAATACAATGGCCACCCCACACAGCTCCGTAGTACCTCTCCCACATTGGCATTAACTACCCCGCCCATCTCTAAACCATTTGTAAACAGCCCGTTGAATGGTGTAGACCTATTGCAGGTGTCAGAGACCTTCCCCACATTAACATTAGCTACCCCGCCCATCTCTAAACCATTTGTAAACAGCTCCATTTGTAAACAACTGTGTACAATGTTTATTAGGTTTATTAGGCTAACTCTGGTAACCTCGGAACCATGATCCAGTGGGACATGGAGCAGGGAATCCCAGGAATATAGATACAAAGCGGCTTATCACGATGCTGCATTGTCAGCATAACGGTAGACACTTGGCTGAAGATATCAGGTTGACAGGCATTCGTAACCACTGCGTGCTCCCAGTCGTATGAGCTGAGACATCGTGACTACCCTCGGAAGATTCCATACACCCCCTGCTCACACCATCCATGACCTTCCACCCTGGGCCTGTTCTACTCACGCTGTGCCCTGGCTACTCGTGTTCTTCAGAGCGAGAAACCACAGCCTGCACCTCTGTGGGATGGCATGGCAGGTGCGTACAAGCGTGCGGGCGTATTGTGGTAAATAGTTATGTTTTTTCCCCTTGTTACTCCGATGCGCATGGCTATTCAGGATTAGGGATGCCCCAACTGACAGACTGAGTGGTGGTGGTGGTGTTGGAGTTAATAAAAAGAGGTTATTGCATCCAGGGTGAGTGCCGGATGGACCATGTTAGTGGAATAGAATGGGGAGACCTACACCTCAACTACATCTGTGTATCTGTGTCTCTGTGCGTCTGTCTGTGTTTCTGTGTCTTTGTGATTCTATCCGTCTGTTTTTATGTCTCTGTTTAAGTGTTTGTATATTTGTTTCTTTGTATGTGTTTTTGAGTGTTTTTTTTCTGTCTTTCTGTGTCTGTATGTGTTTCTGTATCTTTGTGTGTCTGTGTTTTTGTATTCCTGTGACCGTGTCCCTGTCACTGTTTCTGTGTCTCAGTGTTTCTCTGTTTTTGTGTTTATGTATCTCTGTTTTTCTGTATGCCTCTTTGCCACTGTGACTGTGTTTCTGTGTCTCTGTGTGTTTTTGTGTCTTCATGATTCTGTGTCGCTGTGTTTATTTCTGTGTCTGTGTCTCTCTCTTGCACTGAGTGTTCTGCACTCTTTTCACGTCAGGGAAGCCGCCCCCCTCCCCATCTAATGACGTAATCAACAGATGAACTGGTGACTTTTTTTGCAATGACCCTTCTCCATGTCATCAATAATAGCGTAGCATGTGAGGCTTTGACTGAATTAAAATATACAATAGGCACAATAGGCGACGTTTTGGGAAATGGACTTCCTTTCTTCTTCATACCACATTCACAGAGAAGCCAGGAGAGAGGCAGATTGGATGCTAAGAGCTGCAGGCATGCATTGGTTTACACCATGGGCCTGTGGCCCGATGAGAATCACATTTCACACGAGTTTCAACGTTCAGGTTCTCATCAGCGGCAGTCAGGCTCGATTGAGCCTGATGATGGTGAATCTGCTGCTGATGAGACAATGAAAGTCAAAACCGGTCCAGAGTATTGCTGGAACTGAACAAATGGTTCAAGCAAGCCTGGCTCTTGATGAGACACTGAATGTTAAAACCGGTCCAGAGTTTTACTTGTAAGAACAAATGGTTAAAGTGAGCCAGAGAGGCCCTCTGGTGCTTTGTCTTCATAGGCCTTGATAGCAAGCCAAGTGTTACAGAGTATCAGAGGAGGTGGGTGTGTGCGTATTTGCCTTTTCGGAGTTGGTGGGATGCTAAGTTTACCAAACTAAAGTGAGTATCCATCGCTCTGCATGAACATAAAGGGCCGGTTGACTCTGCCCACATATGTATGTATGTTGAACTTCTTTCGCAGTATACGTAGCCAACCTTACTAATCGGAAGTCCACGTGTGTACATTAAAGCCATCACCATCTTAACCACACGTTCAGGGCAGTGCATGAGGTCTCGTGGCTTAATTTTTGCATTGTGTAGATGATAGAGGATTTTGGGAGGCACCTGGGACCTAAAGGTGCGGTAGAGGTAATGGACACTGTTTGACCAGAGGAAAAAAAACTGCACCACGTAGTGTGTGTAAACACATCATCGCGGTAGTCAAGTCGAGAGGCTGAGTTTATTGATTGCAAGGGCCCTTAATCAGACCATACCGAAAGTGACTCATCGGGGCCACTGTGCATCAGCGTCCACACCGAGTGGAACCGTTCTATGCATGATAAGGAGGCACAAGTCCCACCGTGGGTTTCAAGGGGGAGTCGGTGAAGCCAAGACCCAGACCCCTCCCCGTCCCCTCCCCCGCTCATGTGAACTCCGAGTTGCATGACATACAGACGAGTTTGAGACGATGTTACGAATATTGTATTTTTATTACGTCTTTTAAACCAACAATGATACTTATATAACTATGAATAAAATTAATCTTAACTGTTAACAGGTGGCCTTGGTACTTGCCCTTTTTGGCTTCATCTGTGATATCACCAGGCCACCTCAGCTCTCAAATGCTGGTTCAGCTATGCCCTTCCATGTCCTGGAAACCGTGGCGAGGTCATCCTCTGAGGACTGCCCAGATGAAAACCAGGATGGCAGGGCCCAGCGTAGGGCTAACTACACTAATGGGCTAGTCCCATGTGTCTGGTGTGTGTAGTGTGTATGTGTGTACAGTCAGTTCTGCTATAAAGCATGTTTTCATCACGCAAATATTGTATTAAGGAACACATTATTTTTATAACGCGGATGAGAATTGGATAAACGCGATTGAGTGAATAGAACTATGCCGTGCGAGTTGGAATAAGCGGTTGTATGGCTGCCTCGGCATAAGATCACGCAAGGCGAATCTAGATGCTACCCATGCACCTCAGTCATTGTTCAGCCTGAATACGCATCTCGCGTGTCATCGCGGACTGTGTTTTACTCTATACAATATTGCTGTATTCGTCTCGCTTTATCATGCAACTTTGTTGATTGTTTATTACAATGGAATATTAATGAATTAACCATGTTTCTTCTAATATTATGTGTTTATCATGTTGTTAGTAACTTTATTTGATAATATACATTTGTTAAACGTTATAAAGTACGTTTTATGGGTGGAAAAAGAGTAACTTTTGATGCTATGGAAACAAATTAAGCCTTTAACATTTTTTCCTATACTTGCCTAATGACCAAATTATAGTCGACCCTTCTGCATCGCGCCTTTCCCCATTGCGGTTTCAATATATTGCGGGGTCGTTATAAGAAATAAAATGGGAATTTTTGGGGAGTTTTTGGGAATTTTGCGAAAGCCACAGATGACACGCGAAGGTCAGCAGACGACACAAAAAGTTTAGGGACTCATAAATCCATAAAATATATGTACAGTACTGTATAATATTAATCTATTGTATCTTTCAATACCATAAATATCCACAATTTATTTTTTTAAGTTACATTTTGTAAAAAGTTACGTTTGCTAAAAGAACGCAAAAGCCAGCAGACGACACGTAAAGGCTGAACATGTAGAGAACTTAAAAACTTTAGTAACTGGAGGTGCTTGCTTCGCTCACCAAGGATACCAAAACATTTAACTTGGTTTTTCCAGATCGCGGAGCCTGCACCCCTAACCCCTGCGATGTCGAAGGGTCGACTGTACTTAATTACCAACTTACTTAATGACCGCATTCATGGAACCAATTACCGTCGTTAAGAGGGGATTTATTCTAAATGTGTGGGGGTAAAAAACTCAGGAGATGGGATCTGATATTGATGCTAGCACCGGAAGTTGCTCATGTATTCGCTTAGGCGAGCGTGTGTGTATACGGTGTGTGGAATGTGTACACGCCCAGGATGAGCATTATGGTCGCATGCGGTGCATTTCTTAAAGCCACGGAAGAATGAGCATACGGCCCTGTATGCTCGAACCAGACGTGACTTCTTCTTCTCTTTCTGCAGGGGTTCACCCCACTGTCTAGTCTCCTCCTTGGCGGATGCCTCTGAGTGGATTGATGTGTCCACAACAGGGACACACTGACTCGGCACTTCCTCATCCCTCGGCACTTCCTCATCCCTCGGAATTTCCTCATCCCTCGGAATTTCCTCATCCCTCAGCCAGCTGTGCGCCAGTGCCTCTGCTGGTGTCATCCGCAGAGCTGGATCCCATCTGTTGGGACACACAGAAATATGTGGCACACGTGGCAAGGGTGATAATGATGTAAGGATTTATGTGCATTTTTTTTATCTTACTGTGTCCATTAACTTACGTGTGTATGTTCAACTTATTTCACACCGTACATAGCCAACCGTGCCAATTGCAGGTACGGGTGAAGGACAACAAACTACATTCAATCATGAGTTAAAAAAGTAGTTTTCAATCTATATTTAAACGTTAACTGCCCCAATGGTGTTGTGGTTCATTATGGTTCATTTGTGGTAAGCACTTTGTGTGTATTGAATGTGATGTATTCGTTTAGCAAGTGTAATCCAATGCAGCTCCGTGAACACTGGACGGACATGGTTGGATCTTGCAAAGAATCTTGTACATGCTGCAGCTTCCTAATGCTATTTCCAGACGTCCCGTAGACTAGTAAGTTGCAATAATCTAACCTATACGCCACGATGTTGGCTATGTCATGACTCAATAGTGGCTGATTGTGTCATAGAGCCCTGATAAAAAAAATTGCAGGACCTGACTATATAAAAAAGGGAGAAGCATAAATCCTCCACTATTGGTGATGACTGGCAGATGAACCTTCTGTTCTCCCCACTGTGCCACCTTGATGTATTTGTCCCGCTGGTGGTCCGCTCATTGTGAACATCGCTCCACCACCCTCAATTGTTGTTGGAGGGTCAATGCTTACAACTGTCCAGTAGCCTCAAGGTACGTGTAGCCTGGCGTTGCCCAGTGGCATCCTTCACCGAGCCCCCTCCACATAAATGATATACATATATCGATATATATTCCTTTTAAGGGCTTTCATGTAAGAGTATGTGAGTCTATTGGTTTCTATAAGTGTATAGACCATGTGAGTGTATGAGTCTGGGTCTTTATATGTGTATGGACCACGTCAGTGCATGCGAGTCTATTTGTCTATGTATTTGTAAATGTATGGCTGATGTAAGTGTATGCAAGTATGTGGGTCTCTATGTAAGTGTGTGGACATTAAGGGCCTTCATGATGGTGGGCAATCTCAGGTAAAGCTACGTGGCCAGAAGTCAGAGCCATTCCCTGTTTACCTTGGGGTGTGAACGGGATGTCCTCTGCCTCCCACATTATTTAACATCTTTTTTGACCACGTAGTCTGTGGAGCCTTTGATGGCTGATCGATGCCTGGGTGGGGTCGAATAATGGCTCCCTATTGGTTAACCAAGTTATGTATGCTCATCTGGTGATTGCTGCTCACTCAGAGGCGAAGTTGGAAGCACAGCTGTTGAACCTGGAGTGTACTACTGAGAGGTGTGGTCTTACCATCAGTTGCACCAAAACTAAGCACTTGCCTGGGTATTTTGTATCATCATACACTCCACACCCTCAGCTCCCTGTTGGTCATGGAACAGTTGTAGAGTGGAGAGTTTCCCAAACCTGGGCAGTGTGCTTATGACCAGCTCCGGTTCGACAGCAGAGGTTTCACTCTGAATCCGCAGTTTGGCGGCGTTTATTTATCGGCTGAGCAATGCTGTTTGGAAGCTACCTAGTTTGTCGCTCCACACGAAGCTTCAGATCTTCTCGGGCACAGTCATGCCCTCTCTTCTCGATGCTTGTGAAACGTGGACCCCTCTAAAAGAACATCTGTGCCTGTTAGGGACGTTTAAGGCTGGCCTTCCTTCGATCCATCCTAGGTTTAACCAGGCTGGATTGTGTGAGGAACTCACACACTTCGGGACTAATGGCGGATATTGGTATGGAATATGTGAGTGTATGACAGTATATGGGTCTCTCTTTACGTGTGTAGTGTAATAACGCGGGCTGCTGACGAGGAAGCGGCAGAGGCAGCAGGGGTCAGTACACACATCAGCAGAGGAAGATCTAAAGGGAAGCCCAGGAATAAATCGATCTGAAGCCTGATAACCCGCTAGTAGGTTCGAGAAAGAGGGCGTGGCAAGGGCGGGGCGAGGCCACGCCAGGCGAATGAAAGGGGGCCCGGGACGGGAGCTCGGGGCTGTTGCTGGAAGTGGATCCCCTCGCCGTGTCGCCGTTCGTCACCTTCGTCGGTTCCGTCTCCGACCACCTTAGACGCCGCAAGCTAGACAGCCTGCAGACTGTTCCAGCTAGGTAGTACCTTCAAGAACATGGATGTGTGACTAGTGCGTAGGCACGCAGGGCACATGTGGTTTCCTGACGTGTGGAATAAGGAAGGTCCCTTAAGAACCCTGTCTCCGACTGAGTCACTACACGTGCATGGACCATGTAAGTACATGAGTCTGTGAGTCTCTATGCAAGTGGATGTTTTTACATGCCAGACTATGGACAATGGTGTTTAATGAGAGATATGGCTTGGAAGATGAAGAATAATCAGAATAGAGGGTGGAGCTAGTGATCAAAGAGGAGCGTTCGCAAGTGATGTTAAATTATTAAACTCTTTTCTTTTTACCAGGTGACTGAATGGGAAAACCTCTCGGTGGTATGGTGGGGGCGGGGGTGTGTTCTTACTCCAGGCAGCGGCTAATGAAGTCGTGGAACTCCGTGTCCTGGCTCCCGAGTGCCAGGTAGAGGGGGTGACTGCCTGGGACCCTGCTTTGTCCGGACATCAAAGGCATCCCCGAACCATCTGCAGGAACGATGCAGACCAGGTAAAACATCACAGCAAACCACAGGACCCTTGTACACCCACAGTGCAGAAACAAAATCGTTTAGTGCTCTGACATAGATCAGTGGGAGTGCTTTTACCGCTTGTTGCAGAAATTCACGGTTCAAATTCTGCAAGCCGCCCTGGTTACTACTTCAGTATTAACCATATGATGCTTTGCGCTGTTTGATTTAAAATGGGACATTACAGACCTTGTGAAGTAATAAAATTACCGTGCTGGCGTTATGCCCACTACTGTGAAATGACTGCAGTTGGTGTCTGTGAATCACAGCAGGCACCTTCCTTTGTGATAGCTTTACATTCTAAGAATGATAGCGCAAATACCAAGTGCAATCAATCATTATTAACTATGATAAATCCTAAAGGTAAACAAAGAAGAGCTATTTTAACTGTGATTTAATCTCTTTCAAGCAAAACATTATTTTTTACCAGGTAAAGCCCACTGAACTATTGCCTCTTCTTCAGAGGCGACCAGGCAAAGGGGAGAAGATATGTTCCCGCAATGGACAGCAGCCAGGGTGGGGATCCACGTGACGACCTTCTACATTGCAGGTGAGGGAGGAAACGTCTCCTCGCCTCTGCAGCTTCCCAAAAACGTCCGATCTGATTGCTAAACGTGGTTTTGAGCATTGCCCTTCACATTACAGATGATTCTACTAAAATAATGATTACTAGTCACAACTGGCGTCTCTTTAATCGCTTGCACTTCATGGTACTTTAATTTGCTTGCCTGTGTCAGGTGGTGGAGAGCCTTAATGACACAAATTTGGGCAGATCACCATGAGGCCTAACCCTTCCCCAAAAAAGCATTACAAATTATATTGACTGCAAAAACACGTGTGGAAGTAGTTAACTATGCAAAGTAATGCCCCACTAAACTCTTAACAGATCCAGCTCCGCCTCAAACTTAACGCGGTTCCCCCGCTCGCCCCTTCACTCACCAAAGTACTTGTTTCTCCCAGGCGCGCCATCAATCAAATTCTGAGGAGGCATCCCGAGGGTCTACACACAATTTACAAAGAGACAATGATCACCCATACAGTATTGACACACTTGTGTGGCATGTTTTGTCTGTGAGCACCTACTGATGATGGCACAGCACCCAAGGCCACACCGCAGTAGCTATTTTACAAATCACTCTAGGTATTGATTTAATGCCGAGTCGATATTTGAGAGGCCAAGGACTGGTCCAACATTCAACACCACACGGTCAGGGCGCTAACCACTCAGCTACCACTCCCGATGGTTCTCGCATGCAGGCACACGGCAGTGTTATTGGCATGGCCCAGCAAAACCGCATACGCAGCACATTGCAGAAGTTCACCGATCAATCCCAGTGACTGCCCTGGTCTTTCCTGCGGTATTAAACCACAAAATACTATGCACCATCTGCCTCATTCACAGCGGAGGTTATGGGTCCCGTGGCTTCATTTGAAATTGCTTATATGGTTGTGACAATTGTCTTCATTACAAGCAGTTGAGATGAAACAACAATAATTGGCGCGATAAATGCTTGTTCATCTGACAATTCAAATTGTTTGCAGGTGGTTTTAGGGTTACATTTGGCCAATCCGTGGCCTCACGCAATAATCTATCACGAGTCATAACACCAGCTCTAAAAATCTATGCGTTCTGCTCACGGTTACCTTGACGGGTCTACGCCTGAGTAATTGGTTCTGTCACACGGTTGAATGCAACTCAGTAGCTTGTGTGTGGACAACCCTGCAACCAGTCGCGAGCACTTGTATGCCTCTTTCTCACAGAAGAGACGACTTAAGTGGTCTGCTCAGGGAATTTTAAGTAACTATTTCCTGTCGCATGTTCTATTGGTCATACCAATTTTGAAGATTATGTTAATACCCTTGATGCGGAAATACTCGCTGAGAAGTGAACGTGGTTAGAAGCAATGACTGAGTTGGGCGATTTCAAGAGCAAATTGGTCATGAAATTGATGACAATAACGGAATTGTCAGTGTTACTGCTGTGTGGGCAATACCTCCATATAACACGGGAGCTGGTCGTGTTTGTTGATGGCCGGAAAGAGGATGCGTCCGGTAGCCAACTCGGCCACTGTACAACCCAGTCCCCACATGTCAACCGGGAAAGATGACATGTGGCCCAGGTACGCCTCTGGGGCAAGGTACGCGTGGGAACAAAAAATCTGTGAACCTGTGAATTACAAAAGACAAATATCACAAATATAGCCTTTAACAGCAACACACAGGCACAAAAAAACAAGTATAAAAACACATGTAATCACCCATAGGTCTAGACACATGCACACACACAGGCGCAGAGATGCAAACACGTGTACACGCACACACACAAAACGTCCCCATATAGCCTTTAACAAATTTATCTGGAATTTGCTTTTAGCGAGCACCTAATGAAGGCCTGAACAACACACACGAGGATGGGTGGCCAGCACCACGCCCATCCACCTTTGTCTCCTAAAGTGGTGGTGCCTAGGCATCGCACATGGTACTCATTTATGGCTGAGTCGACCTAGGGGAGGCCCAGGACTGGTTCAGATATTCACGAACGCGCATTTTACTCCAGTCACCAGGATTGTAGTGCTGTCGACTAACCCCAACACTACGGTTCAACACTGCATAAACAAAGAAAAGTTCCCCCGTGTAGCCTTAGACATTGTTGGGGCAAGTGCAATTAGTGACCACCTATGAAGTCTGGAACGACACTTGAAGGGGGTGGGTGACCTGCACCGTGCCTGGCCGCCTTTATCTCCTGAGTGGCATTGTTTACACACCACACCAGGTACTCATTTGAGACTGAGTCTACCTAGGGGAGGCCCATGACCGGTTCAGAAAACCGCCACTCGAACCTGGGTTGCCAGTTTCGTAGTGCAGTGTGCTAACCACAACACTACTCGATTTAAAGCTTTCGTGACTGCAAGGATTCATATTCTTTGGTTCTTTCGGTGAAGTCACGTAGAATGAGAATAAAATAATAAATTGATAAAATAAAATAACTCAATAATATTCTCACGACGTTTCGGCCCTTCACCTGATGAAGGCCGCTTGTGTTGTGGCCGAAACGTCATGAGAATATTATTGAGTTATTTTATTTGATCAATTTATTATTTTATTCTCATTCTACGTGACTTTACCGAAAGAACCAAAGAATATAAACACTACACTACTGCTCCTTAAACTGCATAAACACACATTCTCACACTCAGCCACACACTCACGACTCACGTTGGCGTCCCACCAAAAAGCTGTTTTCAAAACTCATCATCCGGATGGTCCCTGCCCCAGGCTCTTTAATCGACATGTTCCTCTAGACGATGGGCAGCAGAAGATATTCACATTCAGAGGTTATGATAATAATGTCAACTTGTAATACGCCAATGCCACGCAGTATTCACTCTATCTGGAAGAGCGAGAACCACTCTGAGGCAGGAGGAGGGGCCACAGATGATGTTTCACACCATTGGTGTGATCCACCAACCTGCGGCTCTACAGTGCTGAATTACAGGCATGCACAACTATTCAGCCTGCAGAAGATTGATCATGTAGCAAAATTACCATAATAAATATTAAAAGGGGAATTGGAGATGACATGCTTTTTCCAAGGTTATTCATAGCGACTCAAGAAAATGTTTTCTGACGGCTGCCGATGGGGTGCCAATTCAAATGTATTTAGATAAGATGATGCCAATCGATAATCTCATGTAGAGCACTCTTGGGTACCCGGCATTAAAGAGGGCACTCTTATCATACCTGAATAACGATTGTTACAAGAGGGCCGAACGGAGCTTGTAGCTGTGAGTGTGAGTTAGGCAGAAGCATGCACATGCATGAAGTTGGTAACGCATTCTCATGCGCATGAGCAGCATGAAAACAGGTGGGCAGCTGTCAAGTTAAAGCACAGCTGCTTATTTGCAAAGCCTCCTTTTACTTGCACTGGTTTGTGTCTCCATGATTTGGGCATTGCTTTGTTTCGACGTGTCTGGTTTTCCCTTTTGCGAGTCCCTAATAGCAAACAACCTTTAAACTTAAGTTACATCCATACATAACCCTCTGTACGACAGTTATCATGACCCGTAGCTATTGACAGTTTGACAGAGTGGATGCATTAACGCTTTGATCAATGGGTCTAGGTTTTACGAGGACGAGCCCCGAACGGGAACTCAAATTAATGCTGCAGTTGTGCTGAACGTGGTCTCCACTCACCGGCTTGATGTCCCCATGCACGATTCCCTTTGCATGGAGTTGAATGAGGAATTTGAGAATGGACTTGGTGAAGAGTTTCACCATTGTCATCTCCATGTGCTGGGGTGCCGTGCAATCAACGGCACTTAACAGACGTCTTCTGTTAAAGAGACAACAACACAAAGTCAGTGCCATCCTGTAAAGGGCTGAGTCAACAATAACAATTATTATACTCGTTTATCATATGGAAGCCTCACTAAATGTAAACACATTTTCCCGAGGGTCCTGCCAAGTTCTCCTGTCGGGGTGACATTGTTCCTATGTGTAATCCCAACTGAGTAATTTTAAGGTATTTCCTCAGAATTGGCAAATTTGTCGGATGCCAGTTAAATTGTGTGCGAGTGTTTTGCTATTGGAGGAATCCGGAGAATGCAGAGGAATTCCATGCAGAACAAGGGGAGAACAAACTCCACACAGACACTTATATCCGAGTCAGCAATCGGAACCAACCTCTTGGTATGATGCACGAGTGTTACCACTGCCGCCACACTGCCGGTTGTTGGCGTGGCTGTAGAAAAATGAGCAAGTCTGGAGGTGAAAATGGAGTGGAGCAGCCAGCTTTGCATGTCTCTATTGAGCTGCTCAGACAGCGGGGTACGTACTTCGGGATGAGCTGCATGACGAGGCAGTTGTGACCCCTGAAGGTGAAAAAGTCGAGGATTCTGACAACGTTGACATCATCATTAGCCCAGCCCTGAAGTTGGAGCAAGATGTGGTACTCCATCCACTGGCTGTGGTCTTCCTCAGCACTGCACAGCGGAAATCCACAGCTTCATATTAATTAAAGAAGTGACCCTTGTAACACGCAGTATGTCGCTCGCTCTAAAAGACAGTTGTCCTTCATCACACCTGCGATTAATACAGTGGGCTACGTACGGCGCGAAAGAAGTTAAACATAAATCCAGAGAAAACCCACACATATGAGCACCATAACACTACCCACGTAAAGATCGAATTGATTTACTGTCCTGCCTTCTCCATGCAAGCCATTGTGAAGTCTTACCTGAATGACTGTCTCCACATCTTCACAGCCACTCGGGTGTTGGTCTTGTGGTCACGGCATTTGAAGATCTGGCTGTAAGGTCCGACCACCTTCTTCAGCACCTCATACCGGAAATTGAGGTGCTCATGCTCGACCTGCGGAGCAATCACATCAACTAAGTATACTGATCCAGTCACTGCTCATTCAGTCACTGAGTATGGATGCAATATTTTGTATGGCATGTGTAAGAGTGATTGTGTGAATGTGTCGGGTATGTTGTCCGCCTGTTCTGCAGATGATCATGGTGTTTGTCAGTGTGCAGACTTTGTATGTTCTCCACTTATTACGTGCCCTGAGGAGAGCCGTACCGAGACATAATGGTTGAAGACATCATCGTAGCCATGGTTCTGGGTGCCAAAGCCTTTGTTATGGACGCCGAAATACCAGATGTTATTCACGGTGAGGACCTCGCTTCTCTCGGTGGGGGTCAGGAAATCCCCAAAGAGCTTCAAGATTTCTGAAAACAAAAGAACAATGATGATGATTAATACTGTACTATTGTTTTAATATTGTTTTGTTAAATAAAACGTTTTTGTTTCTTTAATTTGTTCATTAAGCAATGTAGTGTTTTTTTTTTCCATTGGATTTTTAACCAATTCCGTATTCCTGTAACATGTGAAGAACAGACTAATGACAAATTTGGTATCACCACCTATGTAACCGCGCTTTTGACATGAAGACTTGTTTAACATCCAAACGATCGCAGGACACCCATGAAACATAACCTGGCTGCTTATTTGGCCCTTCCTGCTGAAATGATAATAAAATATACGATGCTTGTTTACCCAAGAAAGCTCCACTGAGTGCCTGGACTGCATATAATCACCAACACTATTTTTTTAGCATTGGGATGTGTTAATAATTTTCTTTCGCTGTGTGGAGGAAACTGGAGAGCCTGGAGGAATCCCATGCAGAGCAGGGGGAGATCATCCCGACTCCAAAGAGAAATGCACGAGTGTTCCTGCTGTGCCACTCTGCCTCACAACATTTTTATTCCATAACCATTCACATGCTTGTTTTTGTTTTCAACTATGGCCACCATGACGTCCCCCACCATGACTTCTCTAATCATATCTATCACCTCGTGGGGTTTTACTACTGGCGATGGCAACGCCGTCCGATGTGGGCAGCGCACTCCATTGCACGCCGCTCCTGGAGCCCACCTTCTCTTCAGCCTTGGCCATCTACACACACAGACAAAGATGCAGGTCACCCGGTATAACCTTTAGCAATCTTATATTCTTAGTTCTTTCGGTAAAGTCACGTTGAAGGGAAACAATAAAATAATAAAATATATAAAACAATAAAAACGTCGTGAGAATTTTTATTGTTTTATATATATAATTATTTTATTGTTTCCCTTCAACGTGACTTTACCGAAAGAACTAAGAATATGAATTACTGCAGTCACGAAAGCTTTAAATCAAAACTTTAGCAATCTGTTGGAGAAAGTGCAGTAAGTGAGCAATGAGCCAACATCGCTGAGGGCCTGGGTTCCACAGTGAGGAAGGCCAGGCTTTGGCAATATGGGGCGAAGTTGCTATGTGGTCCAGCCATTGGGAACTCCCAGTGGCAGTTGTCCATGTGCATGAGTCTACCAGTGGACTAGTAGTCTACCAGTGGACTATTAGTCTACCAGTGTTCCATGAGTCGACCAGTAGACTATTAGTCTGGATGCAGGAAGTTGTGGGTACGATGCCGACCCTGTGTGACTGATAGTAAGCATGAAAGTATAAAGTGATTATGAGAGAGTGAGTGAGCGTGAGTGTGAGAGTTTGTAAGGATTGATTGAGTGTGAGAGTGCGTGAGTTTTAGAGTTAGTGAGATAGTGAGAGCAAGTGTGAAAGTGCATGAGTTTGAGAGTGAGATAGTGTGAAGGGGAGTATCAGAGTTAGTGAGTGAGCATGAGTTATTGATAATAAATGTGAGTGAGTTTGAGAGTTAGTGAGTGTGAGATTCAGTGTGTGAGGGGGTGTTAGTGTGAGAGTGAGTGTGAAAGTTAGTTTGAGATTGATGTTGTGAGAGTGCATGGTAAAGTGAGAGAGTTAGTGTCAGAGTGAATGTGTGTGAACGTGAGTGAGAGTTACAGTGAGTGTGATAGTAAGTGAGTGTGTGCGAGAGAGACAGATTGAGTGAGTGAGAATGAGAGAATGAGTGTGAGTGTGAATGAATGTGAAAATGAGTGGGGGAGTTAATGAGAGTGAGTGGGAGCATGATAAAGTGAGTGATTGAGTGAGTGTGACTTAGTGAGTGTGAAAGTTAATGCTTGTAAGAGTTATTGAGCGGGAGAGTAAGAGTGTGAGAGTGAGTTAGAGTGAGAGAATGAGTTGGAGAGTGCGAGAGTGTCTGTGAGTGAGATTCAGTGAGAGACAGTGTGAGATAGTGTGAATGAGTTTGAGAGTTAGTGTGAAAGTGAATGTGAGAGAGTGTGAGCAGGAGAGTAAAAGTGTGTGTGAGAGTGCATGTGAGTGAGCGAGTGAGACAATGAGTATGAGCAAGATAGTGAATGTGAGCATGAGAGTGAATGCTAGTGAGTTATTGAGTGGGAGCGTAAGTGAGTGAGTGTGATAGTGAGTTACTGTGAGAGTGAGTGTGAGAGAGTGCATGTGAGAGAGAATGAGTTAGTGAATGTGAGAGTATGTGAGAGTGATACAGTGAGTGTGAGACAGAGGTTGAGAGTGAAACAGCGCGTCGGACAGTGTGTGAGTGAGCGCGAGTCTCACCGTGCCCCCTCCTCTTCGTCTCCACTCCCCGTAAAGAATCGCAAGAGCTCGGCAACTTGTGCTGCTACCTTCTCTGCACGTCTCACTACACGGAAGTCACGTGTGCAGTGACGTCACTCACCTCCACGGCTATGGCCACACCCCTATCTCTCCTCCCCACTCAACGAGTGGCCACGTGACCGCCCAACGGTTCTTGCCGTGAGTGTAAGACTTGAGTGAGAAAGTTTGTGAATGTGAGTGTTAGAGTCAGTGTGAGAGTGAGTTTGAGTGAGAGTGATTGAGTGTGAGAGTTAGTGAGTGTTTTAGTGAAAGAGTGAGTGTTAGTGAGAGAGACAGTGAATGTTAGAGTGCCTTTAAGAGTGTGTGAGTGAGTTAGTGAGTGGGTGAGTGTGAGATGGAGTCTCACTGTGCACCCTCCTCCTCGTTTCCAATCCCCGTAAAGAATAGTAACAGGAGCTCAGCTCTTTGTGCTGCTACTGCAGCTACCTTCTCTGCACGTCTCACTACACGGAAGTCACGTGTGCAGTGACGTCACTCTCCTCCACGGCTATGGCCACGCCCCTCTGTTTCCGTTGCGTCAGACCCTCAGACCCCTCCCACTCAACGAGTGGCCACGTGACCCCCCAACGATTCGTTGCGTGACTGGTGAGTTAGACTTGAGTGAAAAAGTTTGTGAATGTGTCAGAGTGAGTGGGAGAGTATGAGTGAGTGAGTGTAAAAGTTAGTGAGTGTTATAGTGAAAGAGTGTACATGAGGGAGTGAGAGATTGAGAGTGAGTGTGATGCTGAGTGTGAAAGTGAGTGAGAGTTTGAGTGAGACAGTGAGTGTGAGTAGATAGGGAGTGTGAGAACGAGAGTGAGTATACAAGTGAGTGGGAGAGATAATGTGAGTGAGAAAGTGTGAGAATGCATGAGATTGAGATAGTGTGAAGGTGAGTATCAGAGTTAGTGAGTGAGCATGAGTGATTGAGACTAAATGGGAGTCAGTTTGAGAGTTAGTGTGAGATTCAGTGTGTGAGGGGATGTGAGTGTGAGAGTGAAAGTGTGAGATTGATGTTGTGAGAGTGCATGGGAGAGTGAGAGAGTTGGTGTCAGAGTGAATGTGTGTGAACGTGAGTGAGAGAGTTACAGTGAGTGTGATAGTGAGTGCGAATGAGACAGATTGATTGAGTGAGAATGAAAGAGTGAGTGTGAGTGAGTGTGAATGAATGTGAGAATAAGTGAGTGGGGGATTTAATGAGAGTGAGTGGAAGAGTAATACAGCGAGTGAGAGAGTGAGTGCGAGTTAGTGAGTGTGAAAGTGAATGCATGTAAGAGTTATTGAGCGGGAGAGTAAGAGTGTGAGAGTGAGTTAGAGTGAGAGAATGAGTTGGAGAGTGCGAGAGTGTCTGTTAGTGAGATTCAGTGAGAGACAGTGTAAGTGAGATAGTGTGAATGAGTTTGAGAGTTAGTGTCGAAGTGAATGTGAGAGAGAGTGAGCAGGAGAGTAAAAGTGTGTGTGAGAGTGCATGTGAGTGAGCAAGTGAGACAATGAGTATGAGTAAGATAGTGAATGTGAGCGTGAGATTGAATGCTTGTGAGTTATTGAGCGGGAACGTAAGAGAGTGAGTGTGATAGTGAGTTAGTGCGAGAGTGAGAGTGCATGTGAGAATGAGTAAATTAGTGAATGTGACAGTATGTGAGAGTGATACAGTATGAGACAGAGTTTGAGAGTGAAACAGCGAGTCTGAAAGTATGTGAGTGAGCGTGAGTCTCACTGTGCACCCTCCTCCTCGTCTGCACTCCCCGTAAAGAATAGCAACAAGAGCTCGGCTCTTTGTGCTGCTAGTGCTGCTACCTTCTCTGCACGTCTCACTACACTGGAGTCACGTGTGCAGTGACGTCACACCTCCACGGCTATGGCCACGCCCCTCTGTCTCTGTTGCGTCAGACCCTCAGACCCCTCCCACTCAACGAGTGGCCACGTTTCCCCCCAACCATTCGTGGTGTAAGTGGTGAGTGAGACTTGAGTGAAAAAGTTTGTGAATGTGATTGTCAGTGAGTGGGAGAGTGAGTATCAGTGAGAGTGAGTGTGTGTAAGAGTTAGTGAGTGTTATATTGAACAGTGTGCGTGAGAGATCGAGAGTGAGTGTGATGTTGAGTGTGAAAGTGAATCAGAGATTGAGTGAGACAGTAAGTGTGAGTAGATAGTGAGTGTGAGAATGAGAGTGAGACAGTGAGTATGCGAGTGAGTGGGAGAGATAATGTGAGTGAAAGAGTGATTTAGAGAGAGATTTAGTATGAGAGTGAATGTGATGGTGAGGGTGAAAGTGGGAGAGATAATGTGAGGGACAGAGTGAGACAGTGAACGTGAGAATGAAATGTAGAGTGTGAAAGTGCGTGTGACAGAGTTGGAAATTGCATAAAGTTGAAAAGAATGGGGGGTTGAGATGAGGGACAACCAGGAGAGTTCCGTTCACGAGTTCTGTGTGGAGGGTTTGGGAATCTGTAGTGCAGTGACGTGAGGTGAGGTCAATGGCTGGTGAGGCACTGGCTAGTGTTAGGGCCTGATTCAGACACTGAGGGGGGCATGGCCTTACGGAGGGGGCGTGGCCTCACTGAGCGGGCGTGTCCTAACTGAGGGGGGCGTGTTAGATACGTCCCCGTCACTGAGGCAGATGTGATAGCTGCCTCCCCTGGTGCTTTTTCATTGCAGTTTCATGACGAGACCAGCGAGCCTAGATATCTTCATACATATACGTGAAATAAGTTACATGAAGGCGAGAACATGACAACCATTACATTGGTGACATACTGAGATTGTAACAAGCACGCGCTTATTGTCCCAGCTCAATCCAGTTACTGAGGGGTTGCGCAATCAGAGGGGAGGCTGAGCTCGTCGCTGCCTCACCTCTCTTCTCTTCTTGTATTTGCAGTGGAGCTTCGCAAATTTGGAGATTTTTTTATTTACTAGATTATTCTTTTTTTTTTCAAAACCGCTATTTACATTGGATTATGACAGGTGAGGCTCTGCCTCCCTGCCTTCCCTGACCGCACGTCCCTGCTGTAGAGAGGGTTTGGGGCATCTGTCTTGGGGGTTCCGTGTGGGGGGTTTGGGGGTTCTGTATTGGGGGTTTTGTGTGTGGGGTTTGGGGGTTTTGTGTGCGAGTTTGAGGTTCCACTCACAAGGGAACAGGGTGTGATGATACAAACTCTCACATGGAGACTAATAGACTCATAAAGAGACTCACAGACTCGCATAGTTCCCATAGAGGTTCACAACTGTGTGGTGGACACTCTAGTCAGTGGTTCTGCTATGGTACGCCAAAATGTCGACCAATCTCCACTGTGAAGGTGGCAGTGGGTGGCTCTGCCACGAGGTGTGCCGCCGATTAGAGCTCCTGCCAACCCTCGCATTCAAAGCATAAATTCAATCCTGGAGAGGTGCTTAAGTGGGCTTGGCGATTGTCACGTTTCTTTTTCGGAGATCTCGGTGTTGCACTGAAGACGAACTTCAACACAGACACAGCTCCTCTCTAGAAGCTAGCTGTACCCATAACATGTAGCTCTGTCAACTGCAAAACCAGGGAGAACAGTCATACACACGCATGTATCCTGCAACACTTTCCAACATGTGAGTCACTAAATCCAACCTTTCACACCGAGTAATTCATGTCCCTCCCGCTCACACCATGCCAGTCCCCCCTTCCAACCACAAAGGCCCCCCTGGAGACAGGGAAAATTCTGTTCGTGATCACCTAAAAAGGTCGATAGGGGACAGGGTGGGTGGCCAGCACCACGCTCAGCCGCCTTTTTCTCGACAGGGCTGATGCTTTACACACCACACCAGGTACTAATTTAAGAATGAGTCAACCTAGGGAAGGCACAGGTCCGGCTCAGATATCGGAGTATCAGGTCGCCGGGTTTGTAGCGCAGCGCGCTAACCACTGCACCACCATCTTCCCCCCACCGCTTCCAACAGGCACCGACATGCTGATGATGGGGGTGAACGGACCCCGCATGCCATGAAGCACACGGGCAACGTCATCTACAACGTCACCTACACGGTGACGGAGATGGGCAACTCCATCCTCATCGTCAAGTGGGGCGATGATTGCATCCCCGGCAGCCTCTTCCGCATCACCGTGTCGGGCAGCTACGGCTAGGGTTCACCATGACAACAATGATACGGTGATGATGATAGTGTGACTACGGTATGGCGATGATGGTACTGTAACAAAGATACGGCAATGATTATACCATGGCAATGATACAGCGATGGTGATAGCATGATGACAATACGCGATGATGATACTGTGACAATATGGCGATAAGGTAATTACGTTGATGATACCGTGACGACGATATGGCGATGATACTGTGAAAACAATACAGAGCTGATCATAGCGCCATGACAATATGGTGATGATGTTACCGTGATGACGATCCAGCTATGATGTACCGTGATGACGAGATGGCGATGACACCATGACAATTATATGGCAATGATACCATGACAATGGAATGGTAATGATGATGAAACCGTGACGACGATACCGTGATGATGAAAACCGTAACAATACAGCAATGATGATATCATGATGACGATACGGCGATGATGATACCATGACAAAGATACGGCAATGATGATACCATGATAACGATAAGCAGTGAAACCGTGACAACAATACGGCGATGATACCGTGACAACGATACGGCGATGATGATACCGTAACAGTGATACGGCAATGATATCATGATAACGATACAGCAGTGATACCGTGACAACAATTTCGGCGATGATGATACCATGATAACGATACAGCAGTGATACCGTGACAATGATACGGCGATGATGAGAGTGATGTTTTATATATGCCTTTTCCAATAATTTATATTAAGAGTGATATTGCCTATTTTTAATGTAATAGATTTCCTTATATATAGATTCAACGAGTTCCAAACAAAAACAATAATGCAGTGACAGATACCTGTGAACTCCTCTCTTGAGGCAACAAAAGGCCAAAATGAAACCCCCCTCTCACGCTAGAATGATTACACTTAGGGGCATTTGAGAGCATCTGTGTCCACAGGCCATGAGATTGTTCAGGCCTTGATGTGACATAGGAAATTACTTCAATAAATTAGAACAGACAGACACACACACACGTACACCGGCCAAATGGTCACTCAAAAGGACAGTTGTTCCATCGTTAGAGGAAACCGACCAATCACAGGCCGAGGAGCAAAATCAAAGGAGTTCCGGTCCCTTGTGAGAAGACGAGCCGAGGCAAAACATTTCGACTACAACAAAAAAGCCAAGCCATACAAATCAGTCTTGCAATGGCAAGCTCCGGGGTATGGTCCTCGAAATCAACCATGGGTGTCGAGTCTTGCAGAGGAGAGGGGCGATGTGTTGCTAAGTGTTGAGTTCGGCGCTGACAGAGTATCTCTGAAAGTTTTATTCTACATTCATTCTCATGTTATGAGTCGATTGCAGAGTCAAGGACTGCGAGAAGTTGTATTGTCCTAAGCTATAAGAGTTGTGAGAAGCTAAGAGGTGTGCAAATACATTTGATGAGTTTTGGAGAGTGAGTGAGGAGCAGTGACAAGCAGCTCAAAGCAGAAGCCCTCCTGGAGAAAGAGGGGGGGCACACGGGTGGTTGCGCAAGCCAGCTGTTATTCACAGGACCAGCAGAGCAGCGGCTAACCACTAACCACGAGTGTGCTGACTCGGACCCCAGAAACACAGCAGAGATAGTATGTGGACAACTCAAACCATACTGCCAATAGTGGAGCCAGGATTTTCAGGTAGGGGGAAACAATCCAGCACTGAAAAATGATAGGCGTTGTTAGTAACGACTTGTCCCTTACTTTTTATTCGACGTGTGTGCGGCGATGGCGCAGCCATCGATCGAGGGTCGAATTAGAACCTGTGTGATCAGCATCACACTCGCTGAAGGTGAATGCCTTCAGGGAAGTCGTGTACTGTATACGCAACTGCGCACAATTCTGAGTCAATTATAACTTCTTTGCCGTTATTGCCAATTATGGACTCAAACTATTGCCCTATCATCTCAGAGCCCCTGCACGCAATAATATGCTACACAATGAAATTGGGGGTGGCAAAATGTCGATTTATTACTAATAAACCCCAATGATCCGATCGAAAATAGGGATTTCGATTGGATCATTGGGGGGCACGGGCCACCACACCCCCATCCCCCCCCCACTGGCTCCGCCAGTGCATAGTGCCCACTATAATTATTAGACCTCATGGTGACTGCCCTCCAACACACATACAATGCGCATTTCGGTACGAAAAAGATTGTTCCAAGAGCTTTTTTTGCTTCGAAAAGGGTTACCATTCCAAGGCGGTGAGTTAATTAGCTGGTCATGAAAAGCATTGTCCTGTCCCTTGAGTTGCATGAACACGGTCATTTAGAAGTATTTGTCATTCGTTTTATTTTCATCACTTAATTTTACAAATTAATTTATTGATGACACACTAAACATTTATAAGCATCTACGTCATGAATCTACACACTCGCATGAATATTCTTTTTTGAGATATTTCTTTTAATTTCAAAATCATTGTAATGAATTCATTGATGTCCACTAACCATTTGATAAGCATCTATTAGCCAAACCTACACACGCGCATGTACACTATTGTTTCGGGATATTAATTTGAATTGCATAATCTTACCAATTGGGCACATGTTTCTTGAGCATGGTTCCGTATGAATATTGTCATTTTTAAGGACTTTTCTATCGTTGTGTATTGTCGCGCTACTACGAGGAGTTAGCCTGTTGTTTTGTTGCTCAGTTTGACAACCTAACCATTGGGGTTTCATTTACGGATACATGAGTAGTGGTAATTCCGATCATTAGTGTGTTCGCATATTAGAGAGTTTTTTTTTTATATATTCAAGTTGCTTAACACAAAAGAGTCTGAGTGGTTCCTTCCTAAGTTCATGCATCATTATCTTAATTATAAGGACTATATCCTGCGGCGAGATCTGAATCCTGAGACCGGACATAATTACACTAAAATCATAACCAGTAAATGTTTAAGCGAGAATCATAATCAGGAAAAGTGCAAGCGAGAATAATTGTATTATCACGATTGGCAATACACCCCTCGACAACAAAGCTAAGCATCACACACACCGTCACACATACACGATACGCCACTAGATGACGAATCCGAGCATCACATCACACACACACATCAATCATTAATAACCATAGACACAGAATACACCCCTAGATCACGAAGCCAAGCCAATAATAATACACATAACCACACGCACACATATTGATCCTTATACAAACTAACACACACATTAATAATACTCCGATACAAGCACACACACACATAGATGATATGCATACATTTCCACGTAATATTTTACACACATTTAACCACACATACGATTGATCACATTACACTTACACTCAAATAATTTGACACACACGTTTGATTATTTTATTAATTTTGCCTAATTTTCACAATTACATACATTGGGATAATTGTATACATTGGCATAATTAAATACTTAACATGTTTCATTTAATTCTTTTTCATAATTGAGTTTTTTTGGGTTAGATCGCGTAAATATGTGTCGTTAAAACCCGCCACCACCCGACACAGCCAACTCGTAAGGGTTGTCACGTAAACAGGACATGCCTCTTTGCCACCAGAACAGCCACAGGTGTGTTGGAGAGCCAAGACACAACATTTACAATCTGAGTACGACGTTTCGCCAGTAATTACAACTAGCTTCATCAGGCGACAGCCAGATTTGTGGAGAAGTCTTACCGTTTCGTTCCCTATATAGAGGCGTAGATGTGTTGACCACCCTTCTGTGCTCTTGCACAATGTGGGGAAGGGTGATTACTGAGGCAACGTACATTATGCATGTGCATTATGCGAGGCCTTTGAACTTGTCCTTCCTGTCTATTGTGTTTATTAAAATAGCCCTACCAACGATACTCCCGATTGAAGTACGCTGCCCTTTGTTTTGTTTTTACAAACATCTGGCAAGTTTATCAGTAATCTGAGAAGTGAAATTAAACATGTTAAAGAAGCGCTGCAAATGAACGGTTAAAATGGCTATTTGCGAAAAAGTAATACTACTGTACAGCCCATGGCCAATCCACTGCTGCATGAAGGCCTCCCCAGCATTGGGGTTGTTTAACCACATGCCACCACGGGTGCTCGGTGCGGGTCGGTAAAGGTAGCGGGCAACAAGCCCTGACATCGCTCGCCATTGTTTATTGTTGTGGCCATGGCCAGGAATTGAACTCATGTGTGCCCGGTTCGTAGAGCAGTGTGGTGCCTAGCCATCTTTGCCACTGCTGCCGCACTCTTTGGCTGTTTACTTAATTACTCACATTCGTGAATAATGACTTTATTCCATTCATAAAGTGCGCTCTTGCTACCGTGTGCATTTAGTCGTACAGTACACTCGGTATTAAACACGTGTCTGTATGTACGGTCAGTTTCTTTCACACCGTACGTAGCCAACTGCTAATCAGAGTTGCGGGGCAAAGACAACAAACTAAACAGAAACATCTGGTCTAAAGAAATTAGTTTTTAATTTATCTTTAAAAGTGTATAGCTGCAGTGGCTTCCTAATACAGGAATGAAGAGCGTTCCCAGACATCCGCAGCTCGTCTAAAAGTGTCGCATGATACAGTGACCGTCTTTAAATTTTGATTTAAAGCTTTCGTGACTGCAGTAATTCATATTCTTAGCTCTTTCGGTAAAGTCACGTTGAAGGGAAATAATAAAATAAGAAATATATATAAAACAATAAAAAATTATCACGACGTTTCGACCATAACACAAACGGTCGTCATCAGGCGTGTCGGTTTGGATTAATTAATTTATTTTAAACGGTGTATTTTTTTGTTAATAAAAAACGTCAGCGCCACGTGCAGCGATTTGGCAGTTTATTTAGAAGGACTAGTCCATCTATGTTCTGAAAAAAGGAGGGGGGAGACGAAAAATTAATGTATGCTGTCTGAAAGCCACTGTAAGTGTGAACAATCAATTAAGACATGAAATGGTTTATCAAATCTTTCCAATGATTGCTAAGCCAGAATCCATCTTCTTGGTTGAAATTGTCTCTGTGCTTGTATATGTGGATAGCCTCATGAACGAATCTCTCATGGTAGCCAGATGGCTTACAAAGAACCTCTGTCTTGGAAAAGACAATGTCATGTGAGCCTACTAAATTATAACAATGATCTGCCACGGCCGAGGTGTTGGTCCTACCGTGTTTAAGGTCTGCTTTGTGTTCACAAATGCGGTCCGAGACATGGCGTTTGGTTTCTCCAATGTAACTACTACCACAGAGGCAACTTAGTTTGTAGACACCAGGGTACTGTATGTCCGGAATCACATCTTTTACAGACGGAACCAGATCACGGATTTTATGTAATGTGTTGAAACGGACCTGGATCTTGTGTTTATTCAAGATTTTGGAGATCTTTTTTGTGATCCCCGCAATGTAGGGTAAAGTGGTGGTTTTGAAAGGCTCTTCAAGAGGGTCCTTCTTCATGGTTTGAGTGATAGCTTTGCGGATTGTATAGTCGGAGTAACCATTAGCCTTAAGAGCTTGGTGTACGTGCTTGAGTTCACTGCCTATGTGTTCCTGGTCGGATATGCATTGGGCTCTATGATGAGAGAATTCTTCTGTGATGGATGGTGGTGGGAATCCGGTTTCAGATAAGCATCCGTATGGGTAGCTTTCCTGTAGACAGAGAGACTCATTGAACCATCAGGTCTCTTTTTTATTAGGACATCCAAAAAAGGTAGCTTGCCATCTTTTTCGACTTCCATGGTAAATATGATGGCTGGGTGTATGGAATTGATTTGGTCGAAGAATTGGTCTAGAGCAGGCCGGCCATGTGGCCAGATGACAAAAGTGTCATCCACGTACCTCTTCCATAAGGTTGGGCACAGAGTGGCAGTCTGGATGGCGTCAGTCTCAAATTTCTCCATGAAAATGTTAGCTATAACCGGAGATAGGGGGGAGCCCATTGGGGTGCCCTCAGTTTGTTTGTAGAAATTTCCATTCCAAGTGAAGTATGTATTGGTTAAACAGTGTCTCACCAGGAGGGGTACCTCAGTGTTTAGTCCTTGATGAACCAAGTCTTCAATGATTGCGATGGTGTTAGGCAAGGAACCTTGGTGAATAAGGAAACTACATCAAAACTGACAAGCAGGTCGTCTGGGGACAGGGAAATACCCTTGATTGTCGATACCAGGTGAGTAGAATTTTGTACCGCAGAGGTGGTTTTTCCAGTAAAAGGACGCAGGATTTCAGACAAAAAACGAGCCAGTTTGTAGGTGGGGGAGTTGATAGTAGAGACGATGGGACGAAGGGGTGTATCTAAGTGACCGTCTTTGTTCGATAGTTAGCCAAAACTGCTGAAAGGACCGCATTTTTTTTGATCGTTTATGCTCAGCTAGGTATTGTGGTACATTTGTGGCAAGCACCTTGTGTGTAATGAGTGCGACATTCTAGTGTATTCGTTGGGAAACCGGACGCCAATTCTGCTCTGCGAGCACTGGACGGACATGGCACAATCTTGTAAAGAATGTTGTACATGCTGCAACTTGGTAATGCATTTACCAGACGTCTCGTAGGTGATGGAATAGTGATCTGTTCTCAACCCTGCAAGGTGACCCCTGTAATAGTGAAGGCATTACACTTGATCTGCAGTTGCACTGTGCCAGTAGATGTATCATTAACTATGCAATGGGTTTTCAATCCGTTTCCATAAAAATGCAGGATTTGCCATTAAATAACTTTTCTTGGATTTAAGGTACTAAGGTGTTGCTCTTGTGCAGTCTTCTGCAATAGTCATTGCATCGAGATTAAGGCATGGCTCTCTCAATAGCTGTAGCGATGGAGTAATGATCTTCCACATTTTAGGTTTGCTAAATCTAATGACTGATAAAACAGTATATAATAAAATGACCCCTGAGTGTGGGACAATCATTGAAAGTTGAACTGCAAAACTCTGGAGTGTTAATTTAATTAATGCAGTCCCACCATCATCCTGCACAGAAATCCTCTCATCAAAATGCTCAGACATCGGGCTAAGAAAGTGTCAAATGGTGACAGTCGAGGAATTGAAATTAACCATGTTAACGAAGCTCTGCAATTGAACGGTTACAATGATACACAAATCAACAGGGCACTGAATGGCAAATCAAATTAAACAACATGCCCGTTGAAACTGACCAAGTAATTAAAACTATTAAAATACCGTACATTGCAGGAGTAATTGATAAACTAGCCAGATGGTTGTAGAAAAAAAAGCATCTGAATCATATTTGGCATAGTACATATAATACGTAAATTAATATCTTGTACAACAGATGTATTACCGATGCTGTCAACAGAAGGTGTGTACCGGATTAATTTGCACGTCTGGCAAATACTATGTTGGACAAAAAGGACAAATGATCAGCACGAGAGTACAAGATCACCAAAAAAATATTAAATACTCCCAAATACAACTGTCGGTAGTGGCAGAACACGCCTACCAAGAAGAAGAAGCGAGGAGAGAGATGTGAATTTGGTCGACGAAGACGTGGAGTGGAGAATACACGCACGGTAAAGACATCAATATCATCCACATTATCATCATACTCTTTGATTCTTTCGATAAAGTCACATGGAAATAAATAAATTATTTCTACGTGACTTTACTGAAAGAAACAAGTCATGAAAGTTTAGAATCTAATTTCATCCACATCATCTACATCATCAAAATCATCACCCACATCATAATCATCATCTACATCATCATCGACATCACCACCAACATCATTATTATCCATATCATAATCATCTACATCATCATCAGTATCATCCACATCATCATGACCACCCACATCATCTTCAGCCACATCAGCATCATCCACGTAACCATCATCCACATCACCATGACCAACCACCATCGTCTTTTTGCCACATCACCATCGTCTTCGGCCACATCACCATCGTCCGCATCATCAGCATCGTCCACATCATGATCCACATCATGCACATGATAATGATCATCATCATCTGCATCCACATCATCATCAGGGGGCTTTAGAGTGGACGCGTCCCGGCCAGAAGGGGCGATGACTGATGGCCAAGAACGGCGAGGGGAGTGGCGACCAAGCGAACGGAGCGCGTCTGGGATGCGTGGATTGTTACATCGCGGGCTTGTGGAAGGGGGCGACGGCTTCGGGGAAGCCCTCATCCAGGCAGTGGATTCATTACGCGTGACCGCCCAGCGAGGGATGGTCAAACAGCCACCAAAACATTGTGGTGAGACATTCATCTAGC